CTACTCCAAGAAACACTCACCAGGACTGGCAGATTTATCAATATCCCAGGATACCAAGGATTCCACTGCCCTATGGCACAAGGTGGCACCAGAGGCATTTCAATTCTAGTAAGAAATCATATCAATGCCACGGCAATCACAGACCTGCCCAACTGTGGCGAGAACGTCGAAATTATGGGAGTTAAGCTCACTGTGAGGAACTCAACGCTGTCCATTTTCAATGTATACAAGAGCCAGAGAGAACACGACATGGATCTCTCAACAATCTTTGAAATAGCAGTCACTACACCTACTATCATCTCTGGTGACTTCAACGCTCATAGTGAATTACTACTTGATTCACCAAGAACCGACGCCAACGGAAGACATATTGAACATCTTTTGGATGAAGTGCCAGAAATCAGTCTGCTTAATTCGACGGAACCAACCCACACTGGTGGGGGAAAGTTGGATCTCACGTGTGTTTCCAACAGTATTTATGAGTTGTGACATTGGTCAGTGGATCATGTTCTGACTAGTGACCACTTTGCCACAAAAACAGTTATTAATATAGCACTACCTCCTAGACCTCCAGCTCCCGAGCCCGGATGGGACTTTATCAAAGCAGATTGGACGAAGTTTCAGGAAGCTCTCGAAACTTGGCACCAAAACTACACTCCTCCTGACAACACCGAAGAAATGGAAAAAGATTTAGTAAATGCAATACATAGAGCAGCAAATCACGCCATCCCCAAGAGGAAAACAATTACCCAACAACACAAGGACCATTGGTATTACTGTGATAGGATCAAAGAGCCACATAACAGACTAAATCGTGAACGAAAGAATTTCAGAAGAGATAGAACCGAAGCTAATCTAGGACTTCTTAGAGCTGTCCGAGATCATGTGCACGAAGAAACAGCAAAAATCAGAGAAGAAAAATGGCTCGAGTGGTGTGCCAAGCTAAATCAGCATACGTCCTTGGGCGACATCTGGAGGCAGATCAACAAGGCCAAAGGAAAATCGTCTCCTGCTCCGCCGCACCATGTTCATCCAGAGCAAGAAGCAGAAAGGCTAGCAAATCTATTTGCTTCAAGAGCCAGTTCCACTCAACTTCCTCAAGCAACTCTGACTCACCAACAAAGACTTCAAGCAGCAAGATGGAAAAAAATAGATGATGCTTTAGCCTTACCTGACGAACTAGACCAAACTTTCAATCTAAAAGAACTCAGAAGTGCTACAAAGAAAACTAAAAATACAGCTCCAGGCGAGGACAAAATCACTTACAACATGCTAGCCAAGCTAGGAGAAAAGGGTGAAGAAGCCTTCTTGAATCTCATCAACAGAGTATGGGTGACAAGGACCCGACCACTCTCTTGGAACAGTGCAATTATAGTTCCCATTCCAAAACCTAAAGACCCAGGAAATCCAAGACCTATCTCATTAACAAGCTGTCTGGCCAAAACTGCAGAAAGAATGACCCTTAATCGAATTGAATGGAAAGCCAATCCACTACACCAAAATATGTTTGCTTACAGAAAAGGTGTTGGAACCACAGAATGCCTTACCTCCCTCCTGGATAAAATCAATGACAAACCTGGAATCCTTATTTTTCTAGACCTTGAAAAAGCCTTCGAGTTAGCCAGTGCTCCAGCTACACTGTGCTGCCTTGTGGATAAGGAAATCAAAGGACACGCTCTTGCTTTTGCCAAAGGAAGCCTGCTTAACCGAGAAACTAAAGTCAAATTCCAAGGAAAAACATCGATCTCAAAGAGGCTGGAAAATGGAACTCCGCTGGGAGGAATACTAAGCCCCTTCCTCTTCAACTGTCTCATGGAACAATTCATGAAGCTCAAGCTACTAAAAGCCAAACTTCTTAACTATGCAGACGACTTTGTGGTCATCATCAATGACAAAGGTGCAAGGAACCATGCACAAAAATGCCTAGATATTATCAGCAAGGAAGCGGAACGCATAGCAGTGAAAATAAACAGCAATAAAACAAAAGCAATGGCCGTTAAAATGAGAACTCAAGACATCAGACAGGCAATACAAGGACAAGAAATTGAGTGGGTTACCTCTTTTCAATACCTAGGAGTCATAATAGACAACCAGTTGAAATTCACTCAAGAAATTGAATATCTTCGGCAACGCTGTAAAGCCAGAAACTCAGCTTTGCACTCTCTGACCAGTCTTAGAGATGGTGCATCTCTACCAGTACTCAAAATGTACTACGTTCAAGCAGTTAGGTCACTCATCGACTATGCTGCTCCTGCTCTTACATCCCTCAGTGATAACCAATGGGAGAAACTGGAAGTGTCTCAAAATGATTCTCTGCGAACAATGCTGGGAGCATCTATATGGACGCGTAGAGAGAACCTTTGAATGGAAACAAATTTACCAGCATTAGAAAACAGGATGAAACAAAGGATAGCCACCATAATAGGAAAACTTACTGGAACAACCGCCAGGCTGTCAATCAAAGACAGCATACAGAGATCCTTTCAGAAAAACCTACAGTATAGAACAAGCTCATGGATGGATAATGTGGTCAAGATTTTAGAGAAAATGGACCTGAAATGGACCATTAAAAACAAATGGGAATTTAGACCATATCAACACTTTCGACAGCCTCCTCCATGGGAAGAATCGAATCTAAAGATAATCATTGAAAGATTACCAGTTAAAAAATCCGCATGTGACCCGCAGAGGTTCAAGGAAGTAATAGAGCAACAAATGGAAACTATCTCTTGACCCACAACGACTCACATCTTCACAGACGGATCAGTTGATCAAGAAAAAGGTTCTGCTGGGGCAGCAGTTTACACTAGCAACCATGAAGCTTACTGGAGCATGAATAGTGGGTGCTCAATATTGCAAACAGAATTATATGCCCTGAAGGAGGCAATAAACTATACAATTGAGAATAATTTACATGACGTCATCATTCATACAGACTCTAAATCTTTGCTCCAGGCATTGTTATCCAGTCAGCACAGAGATAATATACAACTCCTCACAGAAATTCAACATATAGGAAAAGATGCCCATAATCGAGGGCTGTCAATCACCCTAAATTGGATACCAAGTCACATTGGCATAAAGGGTAATGAAAAGGCAGACTCACTAGCAAAAACTGCCACTGCTCTACCTGTTGTACAGGTTCAAATACCTCCAAGTTTCTCACAGATAAAGGAGCAAATCAAGAAGAAAATATACTCAACTATCAAAAGTCGCTACAGAGCCAAAGTAGCGGAAGGAAGATCCACTGCGATATGGTATGAACAAGCCACTGGTTACTCCTCTTTCAAGCCTGGCAAAAAGATATCCAGAGACATTGCAGTAGCCATACACAGACTCAGACTTGGGTACAAGTGCTGCTGGGAGGTAATGAACCCAATAGTTAAAGAGTGTCACATCTGTGAAACTGAGGCAGAGGCGCCACTATTGCACTACTTACTAGAATGTGAAGCTACTGAACCCCAGCGCATCAAACTCAACATTAATCCAACGACAGCAGCTGCATTAGATGCACATTCCACCGCGACTACAATGATTAGAAAAGCTGTTGAGGAATGGGACTCATTAGTGAGCATTCTGCATCTACATCCGCCACCAAGATAATGTTAATAAAACAAGATTAAAACCAGTGCACTAAAACAGAAGCGACAAATAAGCAGGGAAAAAGGAGAAGTCCTCTCCTCCATTTTAAACTTAGACCTAAATATCACAGGAAAAAGGTTATCATGTATAACCAAACTCAATTACGGGCTCACTATAGCCCGTGCTACATGGACACTCCGTCCTGAATAGCTAAATCTTTAACAACAACAAACAAACTCTGTTTAGCGTTTGCAAAGTTATAGTTGTGTGTGTGTGTGTAAACTAAAGTCTTTGAAAATGTAATAAGTTATTATGAAACGCGTTCAAGTGTCGCGTCAGACTAGAAATAAAAATGAATTTTGGAGAATTGATTTTTCAATTACCATACCAGTGAAAAAAACCATAAGAAATATTGAGAAAATTCGTGTTAGAATTATTAATCCTACTTTTTCGGTCATATTTAATAATATATGTATACAGGAAAGACTGCTACCAAAATATACTAATATATATATATATATATATATATATATATATATATATATATATATATATATATATATATATATATATATATATATATATATATATATATATATATATAACATAATAACCTGTTACAATATAATAACACTGAAACAATACAAAATGTTTTGGTGATGTTGGTGTGTGCAGGGGTCTGGCCCCCTTCTCTACTGACATGTTATGAAGACCATACTTTAAAAAGTTTTAATGTAGATATATCAATCAATGCACATTTTGTATATATTTACAATACTAGATAAGTAGATCATATAGCTTCAGTACACAGTATTGTTGTTTAACACAGTAATTATGGCACGTGTAGTAGTTTAGCGTCAAGCACCTGGCCTGGTCGTAGTAGTTTAGCGTCAAGCACCTGGCCTGGTCGTAGTAGTTTAGCCTCAAGCACCTGGCCTGGTCGTAGTAGTTTAGCCTCAAGCACCTGGCCTGGTCGTAGTAGTTTAGCGTCAAGCACTTGGCCTGGTCGTAGTAGTTTAGCCTCAAGCACCTGGCCTGGTCGTAGTAGTTTAGCGTCAAGCACCTGGCCTGGTCGTAGCGAGGGCTATTAAATGAATAGCTTATTACTCATTAATATGTCTATGTTTGAACCCTTCACATCTAATCCACAATCATTGTTTGTGTTTATTTAATATTTTACAACCATGCAAATGCTGCAAGGTTGTTCTTGAGTCAAGGTTACTAATGTTTTAGACAAGTTTGTCGTGTTTAGAAGCTCATAAACTGTATAATTGCCAACTAAGCGACCATGATTGAGGAAAGATGCCCAGGGCTTTAACGTGGAGACTGAAGTGTTTGATTGGACTTGGCTTGTTTAGTAACACTATTAGTCCATTTGTTGCTCGTTGCATGCTAAGGTCAAGACTGTTTACCTACAGATCTGCCAACTACCCCAGTGACGACAGCCTCTCTGTGGCTAGTGTCCGGCTAGACAGTCCCCCGCGCAAGGCCAGGTACGTCACTATCCTGGTCACCCTCTGCATCAACTTAAAATTCTTACTTGGTGTGAACTGCAGCACAAGTGAAGCATGTCACTGCTCACTCTACATCATTGTCAAGAACCATTATACACACGCACATGCACGCACACAAACATACACATTTGGACACGCAGATTTGTAAACCTCATTCTGGAGACATTCAAGTATCAACATGTCAAGCAGGCCACAATAATAATGGAAGGGGATGTTCCCTTAATACTGGGTCTAATATTCGCCAGGAAAGCAGAGGAGATATTTGACATCCAGCACCGTCCTCCCTTGTGGAAGGGTGATCATATCCTGTTGGAAATCAAATATGCTTTGCTATATAATCTTGAAGAGACTGGTGATATTGAAACAGTTGATAAACTTGATTTCAAGAGACGACTCTATGGGGAACTTAGACAGTTCTTTAATGTGTTTAATTGGACAGATTTGTTGCTAGGCAAGGAAGAAAATGAGATGTATGCCAAATTTTTCGAAATATACGATAAGACACACAAGCATTCATACCAAAACAGAGATGCAGGACCAGAAAAGAGGATTGCTTCAACAGAATTTGTGAGAGGGCCAGAGAAGAAAACACAAGAAAATGGGCTCAATATCGGAAGAGGCCTAACCTGCAAACATACCAGCATTTCAAACAAGCAAGAAACATTTACACAGCAGTGAGGAGAAAGACAGAAAGGAACTTTGAGAATTGTATAGTGGATAAATGTAAAACAGATCCAGGCCGTTTTATATAAATTCATTAAAAGCAAGCTGCATGTAAAGGATAAAACCTAGAGATTGAAAACGGGGAATAGGACTACTGAAAATGAAAAAAGGAATAAAGGAATGTGTGAAATGCTAAATGAACAGTTCTAAAATGTGTTTGTACCAAATAGGGATTTGAGAGAGCCGGACCAAATACCAGTTCCAGAACACGCCATAAAATACATTGCGTGTTTCAAAACGAAGTGGACAACTGCTCATCTGGCTAGGAAGAAATAAAGCAGTTGGACCTGATGGTGTTTAACCTTGGGTGCTGCGAGAATGTGCAACTGAGCGGAGCATTCCACTCCAATGAATATTCCAGAGATCCTTGTGTACAGGCATCTTAGCAGATAAATGTAAAACGCCAAGTATAGTACCAATTTATAAAAATGGTAGTCAAGAGGAACCTCTTGACCTATAGACCTCGTGTCATTAACAAGCGTGGTAGTCAAAACGCTAGAAATTTTTATTTAAAGTCAATGGGTTGAATGCCTAAAGAATAATGCCATGATAACGGACAGACAAGATAGTTTTCGAAGAGGAAGATCCTATGTAATAAATCAACTTAGCTTTTATGATAGAGCCATAGAAATACTACAGGAAAGCGGTGGTTGGAGTGACTGTGTCAATCTAAACCTAAAAAAAGGCTTTTGATAGAGTCCCACACAAGATGCTGTTGTGGAAACTGGAGGAGTGACAGGGAGACTTCTTACATGGATGAAAATTTTTCTAACTGACAGACAGATGAAAGCAGTCATCAGAGACAATGTATCTGACTGGAGGAGTGTTACTCATGAGGTATCACAGGGTTCATTTCCTGCATCAGTAATGTTCGTCGTCTACGTAAACGATCTACCAGAAGGAATACAGAATTATATGAACATGTTTGCGGATGATGCTAGAATACTGAGGAAGATAGGAGACGTAAACGATTGTAATGTTCTTCAAATTGATTTAGATGAAATTAGTGTTTAAAATAAGTGTCATGTGGCAAATTTAATTCAACGTGAATAAATACCATGTTATGGAATGTGGAATCTGATAAAATAGACCATACTCAACTTACAAGTTATGTGGAAAGGAATTACAGAACTCTAATAAAAATCGAGACCTTGGGGGGGGGGAGGGGGCGTTTGGATAGTAAACTGTCGCCTGAGGAACGCATAAAGAACATTGCGAGAGGAGCGTGATGCGTCGCTTTCCAACGTCGGACTTGCTTTTAATTTTATGGATGGTGAAATACTAAACAAATTGTTCATGACCTTTATGAGACCAAAATTGGAATGTGCAGCAGTTGAATGGTGCCCAGATCTCAAGAAGCCCATAAACTGGGAAAGGTGCAGCGGCATGCTACAAGATGGCTTCAGGAACTGAAAAACAAGGATTACAAGGAAAGACGCTTTAAACATGCCCAAACTAGAAGATAGAAGAAAGAGAGGTGATATGATCACCACTTGCAATATACTAACAGGAATCGACCAAATTGACAAAGAGGAATTTCTAAAACCAACAACTTCACAAACAAGAGGGTACAGGTTCCAGCTAAGAAAATAGAGGTGCTTAAAAAATATTATATAATTTTGTTTACAAACAGAGTGGTAGACAGTTGGAACAAGCTAAGTGAGAAGGTGGTGGAGGCCAAAACCGTCAGTAGTTTCAAAAGCGTTATATGACAAAGAATACTGAGAACACGGGACACCACGAGCATAGCTCTCATCCTGTAACTACACTTAGGTAATTACACACACACACATGAACTAATGTTGTTGAATATGACCAAAAGCATAAGATTAATGATTCTAACATGAATCTTCTCAATATTTCTTATGTTTTTCTTCACTGTTGAGGGAAGTTGAAAAATTAACTCTCCAAAGCTCATTTTCACAATTTATTATGGTCTGATGCCTAGGGATGCATTTTGCAAGGCACTCTCTACATTTTCAAAGAAAATATTTAAAAATGTAAGACGTGCCTTGCTAAATGCATTCCTAGGCATCAAACGGTAATACATTGTGAAAATGAACTTTAGAGAGTTCATTTTTCAACTTCCTTCGACAGTAAAGAAAAACATAAGAAATATTGAGAAAATTCGTGTTAGAATCATTAATCTTACCATTACAGTCATATTCAACAACATGTTATATACGTATATATATATATATATATATATATATATATATATATATATATATATATATATATATATATATATATATATATATATATATATATATAAGCCTATACTTGCATAAACCACAAGTGAAGATAAACAATCTTTGGACAACACCCACCAGTGGGACTCGAACCCAGAAAGCACAACTACCTTCCAGTAGCTGGCATAACTAGTATGCTTTAACCCACTACGCCATCAGACCTTACAAAAGAAGTAGATAGTTCGAGATATATATATCTCAAACATCTCTACCTCCCGAAGGCACCAGATGAGTGAGGGGTCAGTCTGCATTTTCCATCAAGCCACTGTCAATGTGAGAGAACTCGTGTCCAGCTTATAAGCCTATACTTGCATAAACCACAAGTGAAGATAAACAATCTTTGGACAACACCCACCAGTGGGACTCGAACCCAGAAAGCACAACTACCTTCCAGTAGCTGGCATAACTAGTATGCTTTAACCCACTACGCCATCAGACCTTACAAAAGAAGTAGATAGTTCGAGATATATATATCTCAAACATCTCTACCTCCCGAAGGCACCAGATGAGTGAGGGGTCAGTCTGCATTTTCCATCAAGCCACTGTCAATGTGAGAGAACTCGTGTCCAGCTTATAAGCCTATACTTGCATAAACCACAAGTGAAGATAAACAATCTTTGGACAACACCCACCAGTGGGACTCGAACCCAGAAAGCACAACTACCTTCCAGTAGCTGGCATAACTAGTATGCTTTAACCCACTACGCCATCAGACCTTACAAAAGAAGTAGATAGTTCGAGATATATATATCTCAAACATCTCTACCTCCCGAAGGCACCAGATGAGTGAGGGGTCAGTCTGCATTTTCCATCAAGCCACTGTCAATGTGAGAGAACTCGTGTCCAGCTTATAAGCCTATACTTGCATAAACCACAAGTGAAGATAAACAATCTTTGGACAACACCCACCAGTGGGACTCGAACCCAGAAAGCACAACTACCTTCCAGTAGCTGGCATAACTAGTATGCTTTAACCCACTAGTTATGCCAGCTACTGGAAGGTAGTTGTGCTTTCTGGGTTCGAGTCCCACTGGTGGGTGTTGTCCAAAGATTGTTTATCTTCACTTGTGGTTTATGCAAGTATAGGCTTATAAGCTGGACACGAGTTCTCTCACATTGACAGTGGCTTGATGGAAAATGCAGACTGACCCCTCACTCATCTGGTGCCTTCGGGAGGTAGAGATGTTTGAGATATATATATCTCGAACTATCTACTTCTTTTGTAAGGTCTGATGGCGTAGTGGGTTAAAGCATACTAGTTATGCCAGCTACTGGAAGGTAGTTGTGCTTTCTGGGTTCGAGTCCCACTGGTGGGTGTTGTCCAAAGATTGTTTATCTTCACTTGTGGTTTATGCAAGTATAGGCTTATAAGCTGGACACGAGTTCTCTCACATTGACAGTGGCTTGATGGAAAATGCAGACTGACCCCTCACTCATCTGGTGCCTTCGGGAGGTAGAGATGTTTGAGATATATATATCTCGAACTATCTACTTCTTTTGTAAGGTCTGATGGCGTAGTGGGTTAAAGCATACTAGTTATGCCAGCTACTGGAAGGTAGTTGTGCTTTCTGGGTTCGAGTCCCACTGGTGGGTGTTGTCCAAAGATTGTTTATCTTCACTTGTGGTTTATGCAAGTATAGGCTTATAAGCTGGACACGAGTTCTCTCACATTGACAGTGGCTTGATGGAAAATGCAGACTGACCCCTCACTCATCTGGTGCCTTCGGGAGGTAGAGATGTTTGAGATATATATATCTCGAACTATCTACTTCTTTTGTAAGGTCTGATGGCGTAGTGGGTTAAAGCATACTAGTTATGCCAGCTACTGGAAGGTAGTTGTGCTTTCTGGGTTCGAGTCCCACTGGTGGGTGTTGTCCAAAGATTGTTTATCTTCACTTGTGGTTTATGCAAGTATAGGCTTATAAGCTGGACACGAGTTCTCTCACATTGACAGTGGCTTGATGGAAAATGCAGACTGACCCCTCACTCATCTGGTGCCTTCGGGAGGTAGAGATGTTTGAGATATATATATCTCGAACTATCTACTTCTTTTGTAAGGTCTGATGGCGTAGTGGGTTAAAGCATACTAGTTATGCCAGCTACTGGAAGGTAGTTGTGCTTTCTGGGTTCGAGTCCCACTGGTGGGTGTTGTCCAAAGATTGTTTATCTTCACTTGTGGTTTATGCAAGTATAGGCTTATAAGCTGGACACGAGTTCTCTCACATTGACAGTGGCTTGATGGAAAATGCAGACTGACCCCTCACTCATCTGGTGCCTTCGGGAGGTAGAGATGTTTGAGATATATATATCTCGAACTATCTACTTCTTTTGTAAGGTCTGATGGCGTAGTGGGTTAAAGCATACTAGTTATGCCAGCTACTGGAAGGTAGTTGTGCTTTCTGGGTTCGAGTCCCACTGGTGGGTGTTGTCCAAAGATTGTTTATCTTCACTTGTGGTTTATGCAAGTATAGGCTTATAAGCTGGACACGAGTTCTCTCACATTGACAGTGGCTTGATGGAAAATGCAGACTGACCCCTCACTCATCTGGTGCCTTCGGGAGGTAGAGATGTTTGAGATATATATATCTCGAACTATCTACTTCTTTTGTAAGGTCTGATGGCGTAGTGGGTTAAAGCATACTAGTTATGCCAGCTACTGGAAGGTAGTTGTGCTTTCTGGGTTCGAGTCCCACTGGTGGGTGTTGTCCAAAGATTGTTTATCTTCACTTGTGGTTTATGCAAGTATAGGCTTATAAGCTGGACACGAGTTCTCTCACATTGACAGTGGCTTGATGGAAAATGCAGACTGACCCCTCACTCATCTGGTGCCTTCGGGAGGTAGAGATGTTTGAGATATATATATCTCGAACTATCTACTTCTTTTGTAAGGTCTGATGGCGTAGTGGGTTAAAGCATACTAGTTATGCCAGCTACTGGAAGGTAGTTGTGCTTTCTGGGTTCGAGTCCCACTGGTGGGTGTTGTCCAAAGATTGTTTATCTTCACTTGTGGTTTATGCAAGTATAGGCTTATAAGCTGGACACGAGTTCTCTCACATTGACAGTGGCTTGATGGAAAATGCAGACTGACCCCTCACTCATCTGGTGCCTTCGGGAGGTAGAGATGTTTGAGATATATATATCTCGAACTATCTACTTCTTTTGTAAGGTCTGATGGCGTAGTGGGTTAAAGCATACTAGTTATGCCAGCTACTGGAAGGTAGTTGTGCTTTCTGGGTTCGAGTCCCACTGGTGGGTGTTGTCCAAAGATTGTTTATCTTCACTTGTGGTTTATGCAAGTATAGGCTTATAAGCTGGACACGAGTTCTCTCACATTGACAGTGGCTTGATGGAAAATGCAGACTGACCCCTCACTCATCTGGTGCCTTCGGGAGGTAGAGATGTTTGAGATATATATATCTCGAACTATCTACTTCTTTTGTAAGGTCTGATGGCGTAGTGGGTTAAAGCATACTAGTTATGCCAGCTACTGGAAGGTAGTTGTGCTTTCTGGGTTCGAGTCCCACTGGTGGGTGTTGTCCAAAGATTGTTTATCTTCACTTGTGGTTTATGCAAGTATAGGCTTATAAGCTGGACACGAGTTCTCTCACATTGACAGTGGCTTGATGGAAAATGCAGACTGACCCCTCACTCATCTGGTGCCTTCGGGAGGTAGAGATGTTTGAGATATATATATCTCGAACTATCTACTTCTTTTGTAAGGTCTGATGGCGTAGTGGGTTAAAGCATACTAGTTATGCCAGCTACTGGAAGGTAGTTGTGCTTTCTGGGTTCGAGTCCCACTGGTGGGTGTTGTCCAAAGATTATATATATATATATATATATGTCGTACCTAATAGCCAGAACGCACTTATCGGCCTACTATGCAAGGCCCAATTTGCCTAATAAGCCAAGTTTTCCTGAATTAATTGTTTTTCGACTACCTAACCTACCTAACCTAACCTAACCTAACCTAACTTTTTCGGCTACCTAGCCTAACCTAACCTATAAAGATAGGTTAGGTTAGGTTAGGTAGGGTTGGTTAGGTTCGGTCATATATCTACGTTAATTTTAACTCCAATAAAAAAAAATTGACCTCTAACATAATGAAATTGGTAGCTTTATCATTTCATAAGAAAAAAATGAGAGAAAATATATTAATTCAGGAAAACTTGGCTTATTAGGCAAATCGGGCCTTGCATAGTAGGCCAAAAAGTGCGTTCTGGCTACTAGGTACGACATATATATATATATATATATATATATATATATATATATATATATATATATATATATATATATATATATGACAATGTCAGACCACGAAGGAAAAATGAAACAGGAAATTTCCTTAAGTACTTTCGTATATTAAATACATCTTCAGAAGGTCGGAAGGTTTGGACCTTCTGAAGATGTATTTAATATACGAAAGTACTTAAGGAAATTTCCTGTTTCATTTTTCCTTCGTGGTCTGACATTGTCACATTCTTAATCACGTGTTTATTTTCGTGATATACACACACATATATATATATATATATATATATATATATATATATATATATATATATATATATATATATATATATATATATATATATATATATATATATATTAAACATTAATTCTTCCATAACTTTCTCTTAAGTTTATACTAATTTTATGCATGGCGATAATAATGAATTAAACTTCAGTTTGCTTAAACAATATGGTTTTCATACATAATACACCGAGCATATTTAGACATGACATGTCTTACGTTCTCAGGAATCGTGTCAAGCCTCTTCCTCAACGAAAGGCTTTAAGCAAGAAGCAGGAAAGCCAACAGCGGCGGCAGAGGAATGGCTCGCCGTCCTCTAGTGACGGAGACTCACCTACCAGGAAGACGACGAAGCATCACAGGAAGGACGTTGCTGGTCCAGTTCGTCGCAGGGGTCACAGTCTCAGTAGGCTGGAGCGGAAACCAACACAGACCAAAAATGGTAGGTGGAGATCTGTATTTTATGGAAATGGTAACACATAGAATGGTATGGAGTGGGTTATTTGTTTCCAGCCTCACTATGTGTATGATTGGTAGTTTTCATGTGTATGTTTGGTGGACAGTGTGTGTGTGTGTGTGTTTGTTCATCCTTCATGTGACTGTTAGGTAGTCACTATGTGCGTGTTTGTTAATCCTTTTTTGTATATTTGGTTGTCCCTAAGTGTATATTTGACATTCTTTATGTGCAAGTTTGATAGCCGCTATGTTTGTGTTTGATGGTCCTTATACATGTGTATGCTTGGTCGCCTTTATATGTGTGTTTGGTAGTCCTTATGTGTATGTTTGGTCGTCTGTATGCGTGTATGTTTGGTCGTCTGTATGTGTGTATGTTTGGTCGTCTGTATGTGTGTATGTTTGGTCGTCTGTATGTGTGTATGTTTGGTCGTCTGTATGTGTGTATGTTTGGTCGTCTGTATGTGTGTATGTTTGGTCGTCTGTATGTGTGTATGTTTGGTCGTCTGTATGTGTGTATGTTTGGTCGTCTGTATGTGTGTATGTTTGGTCGTCTGTATGTGTGTATGTTTGGTCGTCTGTATGTGTGTATGTTTGGTCGTCTGTATGTGTGTATGTTTGGTCGTCTGTATGTGTGTATGTTTGGTCGTCTGTATGTGTGTATGTTTGGTCGTCTGTATGTGTGTATGTTTGGTCGTCTGTATGTGTGTATGTTTGGTCGTCTGTATGTGTGTATGTTTGGTCGTCTGTATGTGTGTATGTTTGGTCGTCTGTATGTGTGTATGTTTGGTCGTCTGTATGTGTGTATGTGTAGTTGTAGCTGAATAAAATAACTTGTCAAACACCTTGACATCTATGGATAGATTTGAGTTTATATAATTAAGTAACACTCAAATAACTAACCTTATAACACATAAGCCTAAATACACTTTAAATGTTAATAGATATAAAGCAACGCTAGTTACAAAACAAAACACTTGGTTCAACGTAATGAAATTATGAACCCTAGTAACACTTGACCATTCTTTCACTGATACTCAAAATTAATTCAAAATTACAAGAAAAAGTACAAATATGAAGTAAACTTATATAAAAACAAAGCATTTAACACGCTTTTAGATTCACAGTTAAACACTTTATAAGATACAAATATTGCAAAAAAACTGATTACCAAAAGTTATAATATATAATAATTAAAACAAATTTAACAATACAGTATATCAATACTCTACATGAGTATCAAAGCCATAACTCGGGGGAAACTAAAGCAAATAATAAAGACGACTACGTGAACTATAAATTATAACATGAGGCTAACTATGAATTATACAGTATACAATTCAGTATCTAAACCATTACTGTTTAGCAGAGCCCGCAACCCCCCGATATATATGGATTCCATTATACTCAAATCCGAGTGGCCACTCATCCCTGTGTCAAAAATTTTAAAATCGGATTCCATTTTTTTATTAATACATGAGGTACATCTGCATTTGTGCAGCTACCCTAGACTATATGAAGGGGAGTACAGTGTGTCGAAAAGCTAGCTACGTGATGCTAAAAAATCCCCATCACACAGGATGGTTAGTCATACAGAGGCATGTGATAGGCAGTCTGCACTGGCAGACTCCGGATGCATTTTGAGGATATCATCAACACAAGAGTGAATAAGGTAGCAGTGGTAATACAAGTCCCCATCTCGCAGGATGGTTAGTCATACAGGGCCATATGTTTAGTAGCCTGCACTGGCAAATTCTGGGTATACTGTGAGGATATCTTCAAGAATACGAGAATGAATAGATCGGATTCCAGCATAGAATGATCCTCTTCATTACAATGATTTCTAATCTCTGAGACTGCTGATTTGGATAATGGTAAACCAGTCCTAAATGATATTCCCCGGTGCCCAAGTATCCTAATCTTAAAGTTCCGAATGGAACTTCTGATGTATCCAGCATTACAGCTGGAACATTTATACATATATACGATGTATGGGGGGGGTAGGCATTCGTGCTTATGTTGAGTAGTCCATAATGCAGAAGGAAGGGCTGAACCCTAGTATCTTCTGCAGCTACGTCGACGACATATTCGAATGTGTTGACAATGATAACACATTGGAGAGGCTTCGTGGCAAGCTACAAGAATTCTCAGGCTTGAAGAAAAGTGGAGAGAAAAGTGAAGGAGGCAGGATTTCATTCCTCGATGATCTCGTTGACGGTAATTCGGGTAGATTCATCACAGATGTGTACGTAAACCAACTGATGCAAGAAAATGTATGAACAGTAAGAGTGAATGCACTGACAGGCATAAGAGAAGAGTCATCAATGCATATATAGATCGTGCAATACGTACATGCTCTTCTTGGCAGCTCTTGCACCATGAACTTGAATAAATCCGCCAAATTGTTGTGAACAACGATTACAGAGATCGACGAAATCGTTAGCAGTACTTACGAATACGAAAATCGCAGAAATCGCAATACAAAATTCGACGAAATCGTGAGTAAGTATTTTCAGTCAGATGCCTATGCCGCTATGAGTTTGAAAATAATCAGGCCCCAGGGGTAGAAAATCGGCCCCCAAGAGAAGACATTTCAGTGTATTATAAAAATACATTCACTCAGGCATAGAGGAAAGGTGAAAAGATGATGCGAGACATAATTGACAGGAATTGCAAACCTTGCAGTGAAAACACAAGGATTCGTCCTGTTATCTATTATAACCACCCTCATACCTCTTCCTTCATTATGATAAATCCTATCTCTGCCTCCTCTGACAAACTGAGGTGTTCTAACGTAGTGTATCAATACAAATGCAGCTCTGGAGACTGTGCGCTCCGAAATATATGCTACATTCTACATACCATGAATACATTGAGTAGACGTCTTACACTTCATTAGCAAGATGGAGGTATTAAGCAACATCATTCTCACTACCACAACACCATCCTGAATCGCCAAGACATAGTGAAAGATACGCCAGTAATCACATGCACTGACGATCGTAGGAGGTTTCGTATACTGGAGGCTGTGTTCATTCGGGAGCTGGCACCAGTAATTAACATCCAGATGAATTCAATTTCAAGGATACAACTGTTCGATGGTCCTCCATTGACCAGTTGCTGCTGTCCTCCAAAGATGTAAGACCTGGAGGACAGCAGGAAGCCAGAGTCAGGCAACAATCATCTCACCCAACCTTTTGCGGCTCCCTATGAGTAAGGGAGCTAGGTGAATCATAGAGAGTGGGGGGTATACCCACACTTAAAATGTCTAGATTTCCCCTTGCATTTCTCATTGAGTACTTTACTCTAAAAGGTCAGCTAAACTTCGGGCCTGGTTTCATATACCGAGAGGAGAGGCAAGGCATTCGTCAGTAATGTCATGAGCGAACCAGCCGGCCACACCAATAATGAGATGGAGATGGATAGTAGGAGTGAGTGAAGATGTCACCAATAGTGACATCTGCCATCAACACTCCCTGTGCGGGAGGTGTTTGCTGATTGCTCTAGTCGAGCTTTGCTTCACTCTGGTACTAAGCTCTATTGGTACCATGATCTATTGGATAAAAGTACGCTTCAGAGGGGACTAGACCTTTACCCGGTCAGAGATCCTCGACCGGGGGCTCCAAAAACCCGCCATTGCACCACTGGATGTGATCAACAATGGAATATTTAATTATGAAATATATTTAAATAAATGGACTGTCATATTAATGCTAATTCAGAACTAACTCCTTACACCCACAAACTTGGGAGGGGTAATTAATATGAAGTTAATACACTTCTGATAATAAAATAAATCATTCAAATAGTTAAATTCCAGTGAGAAGACAAGTATATTGGCTAACCACAAAGTAAGACAAAATAGCTTAGCTGCCAGAGATGAACGTAGATAACGTTCGGCAGCGTCAACCTGTTTATTCCTGTCTCAGTCAGCAGCCCTTGATGAACACATGATCTTGGGGCAGAAACACGTCTCTCCTGGTCTTAATACCACGCTGAAAGGCAAATCTTATGTAATTTCCACTCCAAACTTATTATTTGCACATTTAATCGCATGATCTAAAGAAATTGGAGGGTAAGATCAGCACTTACGTCGGTGTTTTATATCGCTTGCTGTGCAACAACAGGGCACCAACATTAAAGTATAAATAAGGCCAAATTATATACAAATGCGGTGTACTGTTGTGCCGAACGTGGTGTTCGTAAGCTGGTAAAGCTGTACCCTCGATTAGAAGCTTGTAGAAGTACGGATGCTTGCAGATTAGATCTATTTTTGTCCGGCCGCTTCAGAACACCTTGCTATCAGTTGGTTAATATGGTGACTTTTCTCCCTCTTCCTCCTGCCTGTGACGCATGCGCACTCGTTCCAATGCTGGAACTCTGGGAATAATTTGTAATATTTCAGAGTTCCTAAAGGATGGAGAGGTGGTTGACGAGTATTTTCGTCATAATAAAAAGGCAGTATAAAATAACATTTGATTTCTCGTAGTGCAAGTCAATTAATTTAGATGAAGTTAAATGAACGAGAAATGTTTAGAGTGGAAATCAAGTTTATCCTTTCATTTAGGGGATCAGCTGATCACAGCTGTATAAATTATTTCCAGTAAACGGACATATATATACTATTGATTAAAGGTGAATCCATTAAAAATCAATTATCCTTAATAAAGAAAGGTAAATGAGGCTGGATTCAATTCGATCCATTAAATTAATAAGTGGAAATTATCCCCGTGGCTGGCTGGCTGACGCAACACGGCCATGATTCTAGGGAGAAATCGGGCGGTACTACGCCTTAATTAAATTAATTTAATTTCACTACACTACTGGTTTGTAATGTTAGTAAAAATAATGTGTAGTACAAGAATTATCTCTTATTGTATCAGGGGTTAGTAATTAAGTGTTGAAAATTTCCAACAGACCCTAAATGTTGTTCAGCAGTTCGGCAGCCTTACAGGGTCTGTTCAATCCCAATGCTCTCGAGGAGGCGCA